GTTCTAGTCATTGTCATTGTGCCTCTCTTACACATAGAGAATGTAGCTATCGTATAAAAGATAATGGCCAACAATAAAATAAATCCCGAGTAACTTAACAAGCTAAAATTTAAGTGGCAATAAGAATATGACGAACCATATATAGAGGACGTCCGGGAGTATTGTACGAAACGTTTCCAGCGTATCTGGAAAAATGCCCGGGGAGGGGTGGGGCAAAAAGGACACTTAAGGCTAGAGGATCTTGGGGCAAGCCAGATATCAACGAACTTCAGATGGCCTAGGAACATTGCAGGGCTTAATTTTCACTTCAAAATAAAATCTTTCAAAGGCGTGATTGGATTCACAAACTAGACGAGGTATATACTGACTGTAGTATTATATTGTATTATAGAAGTATTTGAGTATTATATAGAAGGTAGTGAAGACAGACTAGACGAGGTGTATACTGACTGTATTATTATATTGTATTATAGAAGTATTTGAGTATTATATAGAAGGTAGTGAAGACAGACTAGACGAGGTGTATACTGACTGTATTATTATATTGTATTATAGAAGTATTTGAGTATTATATAGAAGGTAGTGAAGACAGACTAGACGAGGTGTATACTGACTGTATTATTATATTGTATTATAGAAGTATTTGAGTATTATATAGAAGGTAGTGAAGACAGACTAGACGAGGTGTATACTGACTGTAGTATTATATTGTATTATAGAAGTATTTGAGTATTGTATAGAAGGTTGTGAAGATAGATTAGATGGGGTATATGCTGATTGTATTGAATGTACAGTGTATAGAGAATGTCTAGATGGAAAAGAATTTAAAGTAAAATGTCCGATGGGAAATTATAATTATACTCTGGGATACTGTGATGTTTTCTCGCAATGCAGGTAAGAATCTTAAATTATGTTTATTTTCAAAATCAAGATGCATAATTTAATTTTAGATATCAGTCACTCGTTCAGTCCATCCCAGCTTTAAATGTTTAAGGGAAATCCTGTTCCTGAACCAACTTGACCAAAAAAATTAAAGTAACCGTCTACAAAAAATCAAAATGAAATGTAATAATACGTCCTAACTTTTCTGCACCATGTGGACTAATGAAGACAAATTTTTCCAGCGGCATTAGCCTGCTCTTTTTCGATTTCCAACTGTCTTACCTGCATCACTGACAGGGGGAAACCGGATTGAAATGCAAAACGCCAAAGGGTGATGACCTAGAAATTTCAGTGATTTTTAACATGTGATGATTTTGCTATGTAAAACAATCCGTAGAAGTCATTTTTCTTTTTCATGAACATATCGATTAATTTATTAATGTTATTTTTTAGTTTAACAACCGAGACATTTTCACCAGGTAATTTCTTATTTACATTCGTTTAATCCTTTCTAATTTCTTTTATACATTTTTAAAATTTTAATTTTATTTTATTTCTGTTGATCATTTAATTAGTCAATTTTATTCCATCATTAACGAATTTATTCTTTTGTATGATTCCTTTTGTGCATTTCTCGATATCTTCATTCATTAGTCGGGAGCCGCGGTGGTCTTCATTAGCCCACAAGGTGCAGAAGAGTAGGGCGTAAAACTCCATTCATTTCATTTCATTTCATTCATTAGTCATTCGTCTATTGTTTAGCTCAACAAAGATGTGTTCAAGACGAGTGTATATTAGATGGTTTATACCCAGATTGTACGGACTGTGATTTATATACAGAATGTGATAACTCTAGTCTGATTCCCCACTCCTGTCCATTGGGTACTACTTTCAATCTAGCATCTTATACCTGTACTGAGCCTGATACAGCTATTTGTGGGTAAGTGATTACAACTTTCTGGGTTACCAAGTCCACGGCCCCCACCCCTATAGGGTCCTCACCCACTCCCAGAAAACAAAAAAACAAAATTTAAAAATACAATATATAAATGAAAATATGAATATATTCAAATCTTCCATTAACTTGACTTAAAGAGGGGTTTCAGAATGCAGGAGAGCATATGTTAAAAAAGAATTCCCCGTGCAGGAGCCTCAACCCCGTTAAATCCACGGGCCCCGTTTCATCTAGCTGAGCCACTGGGGCTCAACATTCCTACATATCATACAGTTTGGAAAATGGGAATAATGACGGCGAAAATGTTCACCTTCAGTTTTGATATGTCATTTGTAGTGATTGGACCCGTTTCAGTATAAAAGTTCGGACAGAGCATCTCCGCGCCCTTGGAAATGGCTTCCCTAGGGCCCTTACCCTGCCTAGATTCAATAATGCAATTTCGAAGGAGTAAGCTTTATCCATCTTTGTTGTCGTCTTGCCCAGTAATTGGTTTTACCTCGCAGGCTCGACAAAAAAACCCAATTCATTGATAACTAGCATGCCTCATGGTCATTATTTTGCAGGTCGAGCTCGTGTATTAGTATTGATCAATGTCAGAATCGGGATGGTGATTATCCAGATTGTTTGGACTGTAAACTTTATGTTCACTGTGAGAACAGCACCGGAACTAGCCAGACCTGTCATAAAGATCTCCTGTTTGATTCTATCAGTTTGAGGTGTACCCAATTTGACCTGACTCTGATAGGGTAAGTATGTGGGATTCTCATCATGATCTATTCCACTGTCCTGGCACATGACAATCCAACTCGCTACCGAATGATCTTTCCACTGTCCTGGCACATGACAATCCAACTCGCTACCGAATGATCTTTCCACTGTCTTAGCAGACGACAATCCAACTCGCTACCGACTGAGCTATTCCACTGTCCTGGCACACGACAATCCAACTCACTACCGACTGAGCTATTCCAATGTCCTGGCACACGACAATCCAACTCGCTACAGACTGAGCTATTCCACTGTGCTGGCACACGACAATCCAACTCGCTACAGACTGGGCTATTCCAATGTCCTGGCACACGACAATCCAACTCGCTACAGACTGAGCTATTCCACTGTCCTGGCACACTACAGACTGAGCTATTCCACTGTCCTAGCAGACGACAATCCAACTCGCTACCGACTGAGCTATTCTACTGTCCTGGCACACGACAATCCAACTCGCTACAGACTGAGCTATTCCACTGTCCTAGCAGACGACAATCCAACTCGCTACCGACTGAGCTATTCTACTGTCCTGGCACACGGCAATTCAACTCGCTACCGATTGAGCTATTCCAATGTCCTAGCAGACGACAATCCAACTCGCTACCGACTGAGCTATTCTACAGTCCTAGCAAACGACAGTCCAACTCACTACCGACTGAACTATTCTACAGTCCTAGCACACGACAATCCAACTCGCTACCGACTGAGCTATTCCACTGTCCTAGCAGACGACAATCCAACTCGCTACTGACTGAGCTATTCTACTGTCCTAGCAGACGACAATCCAACTCACTACCGACTGAGCTATTCCACTGTCCTAGCAGACGATAATCCAACTCACTACCGACTGAACTATTCTACTGTCCTAGCAGACGACAATCCAACTCGCTTCCGACTGAGCTATTCTACTGTCCTAGCAGATGACAATCCAACTCACTACCGAATGAGCTATTCTACTGTCCTAGCAGACGACAATCCAACTCGCTACCGACTGAGCTATTCTACTGTCCTAGCAGACGACAATCCAACTCGCTTCCGACTGAGCTATTCCACTGTCCTGGCACACGACAATCCAACTCGCTACCGACTGAGCTATTCCACTGTCCTAGCACACGACAATCCAACTCGCTTCCGACTGAGCTATTCCACAGTCCTAGCAGACGACAATCCAACTCGCTACCAACTGGGCTATTCCACTGTCCTAGCAGACGACAATCCAACTCGCTTCCGACTGAGCTATTCCACTGTCCTGGCACACGACAATCCAACTCGCTACCGACTGAGCTATTCCACTGTCCTAGCACACGACAATCCAACTCGCTTCCGACTGAGCTATTCCACAGTCCTAGCAGACGACAATCCAACTCGCTACCAACTGGGCTATTCCACTGTCCTAGCAGACGACAATCCAACTCGCTACCGACTGAGCTATTCTACTGTCCTGGCACACGACAATCCAACTCGCTACCGACTGTGCTATTCCGCTGTCCTAACAGATGACAATCCAACTCACTACAGACTGAGCTATTCCACTCAGAGTAATCATGGTCAATAGGTAATATCAGTTGTTCCCGAAAAAGAAAAAGTTATATTGAGTTCCAACTCCTCAAAATAAAAAATCCTAAGAATCTTTCAATGTATATTTTTCAGGCCCAAACCACCCCTTATACCACTGCCAGGTCCGCCACCAGACCCTCCCGTTCCACCCCCTGTAGCCCCCTCTCCACCACCCACACCAGTAGTGGGGTGTATCAAGAGTTATAACTGTCCAGTAACACCAGGGGATTACCCGTACTGTAATGATTGTGGCATGTTTGTAAGATGTACTGAGCCCGGTCCTGGAATACCACAACATTGTCCCAAACATCTATTCTTTGATTCTGTGACCTCCAGCTGTTTACTCAAACATCTAGCCACGTGTGGGTAAGTATCGTTGAGCCAAGATATAGTTTAAAAGGTCTGGTTTCATTTTGACCCAAGAACATGCCACTATTAGCCTAACACAATCTGCTACAGCTAATTGCCTCTGCATCCAATCCAATCGTTCTGCACAACACTGCAACTGTGCCAAACACAGCAAACAAGACTTCGGTGTGTAGGCCTAACACAATTTATTGATTCATTACAGTCGTTGTCATCTTGGAAGCCAAGAGCCACACCATTTAATGTAATTTACAATGATTCCTTATAATCGGGAATGCATGATGACAATACTCATGTTAATTTTTGTGTCTTTTTAACGCAGTATCGAGATGCCAGTTTGTGCTGTGATATCAACTACAGTCATGACCACAACCGTTCCTACCACAGAAACCACGGCTACTGAAACTACAACCGCGCCCACGGAAACTACAACCGCGCCCACTGAAACTACAACAGCGGCAACAGAAACTACTACCTTGATAACCGAGACAACGGTGCCGACAACCACGGCACAAACTACCATACCACCGCCCACCGAGCCCACGACACTTCCACCAACCACCCTAGCAACAACTCTTCCACCACCCACAGAACCGCCATTAACCACCCTTCCGCCGACAGAAGCGCCACTAACAACACTTCTTATAGAAACAGAGGCGCCAATAACAACCCTTCCACCAACAGAGGTCCCACTTACAACCCTTTTAATAGAAACGGAAGCGCCTATAACTACATTACTTCCGGTGACAGAGCCACCAGTGGAAACAATTCTCCCTGAAACCAAAGCACCTGTGACAGAAATAGTCGTAACCGAAGCTCCAGTAACGGAACTACCTCAAACTGATGCCACAGTTACTGAAATCGTTGCAACAGAAGCTCCAGTCGTTACTGAAATCGTTGCAACAGAAGCTCCAGTCGTTACAGAAATAGTCGAAACGGAAGCTCCAGTAGTAACGGAAATAGTCGAAACAGAAGCCCCAGTAGTTACGGAAATAGTCGAAACGGAAGCCCCAGCAGTTACGGAAATAGTCGAGACGGAAGCTCCTGTTGCTACTGAAATAGTCGAAACAGGAGCTCCAGTCGCTACGGAAGCTGCGTTTGTAACACAATTGTACACCTTTGAAGAAATTGCAGGAACGGGGGTTCCCGACTATAACATTGCATATGATTATATCAATCTTGAAACCAATATGACATCAGAAGGGGAGAGAGACAAATTGGGAATTGAAATATCATTAGAGAATGACACTTTGCTAGGATTTGGGACGTCATTGGACAATGATTCGTACCTTTGGGAGGAACCGACTTCATTCAACAAAGACACATTGGTAGAAAGTACATTAATCTCTCCTCTTCAAAGTGAATCGACAGTCGTCAAAGATGTTGGGAGTGAAGTGCTTTTAAACAAATACACATCACAGGGCAATGGAACTTTACTAGACCAAGAAACGTTACTAAGGAATGAAACGTCATTAGTCAAAGACACGTCACTGGTGAATGAAACGTCATTAGTCAAAGACACGTCACTGGGAAATGAAACGTCATTAGTCAAAGACACGTCACTGGGAAATGAAACGTCATTAGTCGAAGACACGTCACTGGGGAATGAAACGTCATTAGTCAAAGACACGTCACTGGGGAATGAAACGTCATTAGTCAAAAACACGTCACTGGGAAATGAAACGTCATTAGTCAAAGACACGTCACCGTGGAATGAAACGTCACTATTCACAGACACGTCACTGGGGAACGAAACGTCATTAGTAGAAGACACGTCACCGGGGAACGAAACGTCATTAGTAAAAGACACGTCACTGGAGATCGAAACATCATTGGTAAAAAACGCGTCACTGGGGGATGAAACGTTAGTGGTCAAGGACACGTTACTGGAAAATGAAACGTTAGTGGTCAAAGGCACGTCACTGGGTAATACGCCAATTTACAAATCGCCGTTTTTCGATAAAGACACTTCAGTGAAGAAAGAAAGTTCTGGGAATGCCTGGTCTAATTCAGGATTTATCAGTGATTCGATAATTAGTGAAAAGTCGTTTAAATTACAATCAAGATCTTCATGTATAGAGAAAATAAATTGTGCACAAGTTGGTGGTGGAAACTTTCCTCATTGTTATGACTGTAAGAAATATATTCAATGTGGTACTATTTATAGTCCAGGTATAGAGGTCACGTGTCCTGAAAATTTCTACTTTGACCAAGTGACTTTAACATGTAATAGACAAGAGTTAGTGGATTGTTGAAACACTAGAAGTTTTTAATCATGAAATCTTCCTCTAGTTTTTATAAAATGTATATATCAATAAATTATTTAGGTGTAAAACTCTTTTTGAAATAACTAGTAAGTAGACTTGGTTTTGTAGCCATTTCAATACCATGGTTTCAAATGTGTCCTATGATCTTCTTATAGATTATCCTCCATATATACCAATACTTGAATATCTGCTTATTCAACAAAAACAAGTCAGTGGGATATAGATCTGTAATCAGCCACTCCAATCAGAGGGACCAAACATACCTGGACCAACTACAACCATTGAGGTGAAAATATACAAAAATTTCAAGCTAAAAAAACCAACTTTTAATAATTTTGATAGATATTAAAACAAACAAACAATTGATATACTTTTAGAATAGATGATATACTATTTACAAATTATTTACCGGGCAATATTATTAATAATAACTAGGTAATGGTAGGTGGTATATAATCAGCTGATTATCAAGGTTGCAACTTAACATTAAAGGCATTGTAAAGAGATTTTTTAAACTTTGTATAGGGGATACTGATAGCATCAATTTTCAATCAGATGTCTGGTTCTTGCAATTCAAATAAAAGTAAGCATTTTATGACGTCACTAATCGTAAAAACTGCCATTGATATACAAAGAATTGCAATAGTGACGTCATAAAACATAGCTTTTGGAATTACAAGAATCCCGGACGTCTGACTGAAAATTGGAATGGTACAAATCAATGCTACACATACATTTTTTAGAGATCTTCTTTACAAGGTTTTGTTGACTTGAATACAGTACATAAAACTGATTAGTAGTAAATTAAGAATACTAAACAGTTGTAGTGTTTATTACTCTGTTTATCAAACCCAGAACAGAAGTTACATACATAATCTTTCGGTGGGTTTTTTCATGAAATCTTTTTTAGAAATTATCCTGTCATCTACAACAGACAGCTTGATATAATATTAATCACACACACCTAAAATCTTCTGGTTTTTTATATTGAAGTTATCATAATAGAAACTTTGTGGACCCTTTGAGGGAGAAGAAACATTAATAACTTGGACTAGCTTTACGTTAACACATAAACTGATGATGTCATCAAGATTTGAACACATTATTTTCCCATTCAACTAAATATTGTAGTTTACTGTCTGATAAAGTACGCTTAGCAACTACGTTAAACTTGTTTCCTTTTGAAAGTCTGTCTTCTGCACCGAAATAACTTTCTACTTTCGATTTTAATTTCTGTAAGTCCACTTCAGTATGTTTGACTGCCTCCAACGCTTCCAAACTCACTACGTTTTCTACGTTAACGCTTGATTTGGATCGTTTACGCACATTTCGATTCATATCCATTTCAAAGAATTGTCGTTTGGAACGTTTTCGTTTGTGTGAGAGTGGTAGAATGTCTGTTGATTCTTCTGTATCACATGATGTTGTAGAACTTGTTGAAATAATTTCAATATCAGAACAGACGGACATGGAGGCTTCACTCACAGAACAACTTTCATATAAGGACATTGTTTCGTACAAGTCTGAAATTTTCTGTTGAAAGAACTGTTTCTGGTTGAGTTCTGTTTGTTGTTCTAATTCTGTTTTAAAGGGGTGAAACGAACCTTCGTATGTTGGTAATGTAGGTATAGCACTATCTAATGAAAATTTCTTCGATTTCTGTCTTTTGGGAGATCTGGGAAATGGCTGCTCATATGAAGATGTATGAGATTTATTTTTAATATCTTTTGCCACTATTCCAGTATGGTCTTTTAGTCCATTGTCACCACCACTGACAAACTTTTGGAATTCTGCCAAGAAATTATGAACCGGGTAACCATTGTAACCAGCGTACGATTGGTTTAAACTCTGACATTCTGATAAAACATTCTGAAATAACAAAGAAAATATTCTTAACATAAAATATACAAGTTATACAAGAGTGGCAGGAAGCAGAATTAGACTGAGCTTACTGAGACTGAGAGAGGACTGACGGCACTATCTCTTTCAGACATGACACATCATCAAACTCTGACGTTTTAGTGGAATTGCAGGAAATTGGAATGGTGTAAATTGATGCTATCATTGCCACAATACACATACAAAATTTAGAAAACCACTTTACAATCTCTTTAAACTTAAAAATATTTTTTTAAAATGAAAACTAATACCTTAGAAGAAGCCTCTTGTAGTAATTTTCTGGCTTTTTCACTTTTAAATACAATAGAATCATCTATATCAAATCCATTTTTACGATATTTGATAGGAATAGGGGATACACTGAAAAATAAGTAAAATTACACAATGATGCTACAGTTCACATGGCCATTGGTCAGATAAATATAAAACTGGGGCTTGCTTGATTGGTGAGTTCATAGATACAACTGAGCATTCAATAAAACAAGTTGGAAGAGAGTTCAGAACGAATTCTATTATCACTTAAGATAATGAAAATACATACCACTGGATTGGTACGAATGTCTTGGTTTTTCTTCCCTTCATCTGCAGATTACCCATAACTTCATCTGTAATCTGTCCTTCTGTAGGCAATATAACAGAAGGTGCTGGTGGAGGAACTCGTAACTTTAATCCCCACAGTGAAGTTTTCTTTTTAAATTCATGCCCAATACAAAACCTGTCAATGAAAATAAATAAAATGTTAAGATAAAGATGAGTTTTTTCTACACCGGATGACGGAAAATTTCAACCTGGTTTCCCCGTCAGTGATGCAGGTAAGAGGGACTGTCATGAAAAATGCTTCTAGTTGTTCGGATGAACCATAGTGTGCAATGAGGGAAATTTTTGCCATAGTCGTGGCATTAACCTGCTCTTTTCAATTAGCAGATGTCGAGGGATCTTTACCCTGCAAAGACTGTAGCACACAGGGGCTTGGTTTACTGTTCCATCCCAAAGATTTCATGCTTTTTCACCTCCCTCACCGACAGGGGTAAACCAGGTTGAAAAATCTGAAGGTATTATCTTGACCCATACAAATGTCAAAGCCCTGAGCTTCTATATCATGGAGCCACTGTGGCACTCTTTTTTTTATTAGAGAAGAAGAATGATCATCTGTGAATTTGTGAGAATAAAAAGTATATGAAAATAGCCAAATAAATATTCCTACCTAGTTTTATGATGCAGACAAGTTTCGTTGATTTTCTTCACCAGTAGTTTAGTTGATATCAGTTCTAGCTGAAATACAGAACGGAATATTATATGTGAGTAAGATCAAAATGACGTTTTCAAGCCTCTTACATTTAGACCCTATAACTTCCATTTGACCTGTTATTTGGTCTGGCAATTATAATTCAAGGTTACTAACTTTTGTGCTGTGTCTCTAGCAATTCTAATTTTTATTTGCCTTGTGATCATACTGAATTTCTACAGAGTCTAAAAGCACATGAAGCTTCTTCTGGATTATTCTAGATGCATAATATCAAAAATAACCTATATCAATAATGGGAACTCTCTGAAAAGTCCTAGTCAACAAACCAAGTTGATTCATAACATGAAAGTTTATAAGACCAAGGTATAAGATTTCCAGGAGACAAAATGTTACATTCTCTAGCCAGTAGTTTTGCAAGTTAATGATTGAGACGTCTTTGCCCATAATTTTAATCAGAATATCAATAAATAAATAAAATTTAACACTTACATTTTGTCCTGGTTGTAAATCATTCCAATTATTGATTAAATACGGTACAACGACCTCATCTAAATCATAATATTTCTTATTTTGTAAAATAGTTAAATTAAATAATACCAACTGAACTAGATCTACCCTGAAATAGAAATAAAATAGAATTTTACATCCTTCTTCCCTGAAACCATTATTCACTATAAAACTGAGATTTATATCCTACTGTTCTCTACCTTTCTGAGCTATCTTGATAGGGGTTGATAGCTAGCTGAAAGTACTGGATGTAACATTCTTACCTTGAGGACATTTAAATGTTTAGCAGACGACAATCCAACTCACTACCGACTGAGCTATTCCTCTGCCGAGAAAAAAACTGGTATTCCACCCCAGCGTTAGAGGGAAGTATTGATTGATACACAGTTTGAAAGTTGATATTAGGAAAGGAGATATTCATATATCCAGAAAAAATCAAGAATAGGTGATAAAGTTAAAACTGATCAAATCCATAAGAAAAGAAAAGAAAAGGGAGTTATCTTACCATTTTAAATCTAAACGTTTGATGTATTCTGGACCATTGTTACAATGAGAACAAACAAATATATAAAATCTATCACCATATTGTAGAGGGCGTTCTAGACATTGTATACACGCTGAAAATATAATCAGTAGAATATATTATATAACCCTAGACTAACTGATTAGAGGTTTTGTTCACTCTCTAAAATATCACTAAAATCATATGATCAATTTTGTGGTAAATGTGACTTATCTCCACACAATTAATAAATTATTTTAAGTTTTTTTGAAGAATTAAGCCAGATTCCAGTAACTTCTTTGATATAATATAGGAAATTACATTCTACTTTTCTTCTCCTAGTTGAACTAATGAATATTAGAAAGACAACGCGAGAGACTTCATTTATTTCAATTACCACCAGTTTCATGATATATTAGGTAAGAAGAAAGTGAAAATTTATAGATGAGAGATCTGAATACAGAGAGTATTTTTACCTTCGTGAAACCATTGTCTACATCTACAACATTGTAACATCTTAGAAAACCATCTACAAATATAAATATAAACACCTGATTCAATTCATTCATTAGTAACTCAGTAAATACACAATAGATATTAATATATCACAGATCCCAGTAAGAAATACAGAGAAAGATTTTAACATTTTCAGATGTTTTGGTAGTCATTAATTATAATAGTTTTTTTTTAAATTTTTACCATGGAAGATCTCTGTTAAATTTGTTGAAGTTTAAGAAACAAAGCAAGGTCAAGAAAAAATGGTAAACATAATAGATTTAAACACACCAGGGATCTCAGTATGTCCTCACACCATAGTGATTATCAGTTGTATATGATTACAAATGATGTAAGTTGTCATGAGTTCCAAACACAATTCACAACTCAGTTACATTGAGTTCCATTTGAAACTTAAATCCGCTATTCTTACTTGCAATCATACACAACTGATGATGGCTATGGTGTGAGGGCACATTAAGATGTCATTTCCTTTATCATATTCTTTTTCCTTTCCCAAACCAAGTGATCTTATTCAAAATAAAAACAAATAACACTGGCCAGAAAAATGGAGGAATTCCTTCAAATAGAAGAGGTCTTGAAACGATCTTAGCAGTAGGATAACCTGGAAACAGTATTAGAAGTTAAGCCTCAAGATCTTCTAGCTCTAAGATCGTTTCAAGAATACATGGCTTCGATTCCTGATAAACAGAATGATAACTTACTCTCCTGGTCCCCCACAATAACAATAAAACTGTTCTACGTTGGTTTTATGTTGGGCATCCCATGTTAATCTATGTAACTGAAAATAATAATACAGAACTAGGTCACATTCATACTTGTATTCCACAAGAACGGTCTTAATATAATCAATTTACATACAGGGTCAAAATTCAAACAAAGGACTAGGGGAGACGAGGGGTCTAGGGGACTAAGGAACTAGCGATGAGACTAGGAACTAGGGGTCTGGGAAACTAGGGCACTAGCGAGGGGACTAGGAACTAGGGGTCTGGGAGACTAGGGCACTAGCGAGGGGACTAGGAACTACTGGAAACTAGGGCACTAGCGAGGGGACTAGGAACTAGGGGTCTGGGAGACTAGGGCACTAGCGAGGGGACTAGGAACTAGCGGTCTGGAAGACTAGGGCACTAGCAAGGGGACTAGGAACTAGGGTCTGGGAGACTAGGGCACTAGTGAGGGGACTAGGAACTAGGGGTCTGGGAGACTAGGACACTAGCGAGGGGACTATGAACTAGGGGTCTGGGAGACTAGGGCACTAGCGAGGGGACTAGGAACTAGGGGTCTGGGAAACTAGGGCACTAGCGAGGGGACTAGGAACTATGGGTCTGGGAGACTAGGGCACTAGCGAGGGGACTAGGAACTAGGGGTCTGGGAGACTAGGACACTAGCGAGGGGACTATGAACTAGGGGTCTGGGAGACTAGGGCACTAGCGAGGGGACTAAGGGACTAGGAGACTAGAGCACTAGCGAGGGGACTAGGAACTAGGAGTCTGGGAGACTAGGGAGCTAGCTAGGGGACTAGGAACTGGGAGACAGGGGACTAGGAGACTAAACGACTAGGGAACTAAGGGAACTAGCTAGGGACTAGGGGTAAACTTACATTGTAAGGTAAAGACTGCTTCATATCTTGAAATGTTTTAGCTGAAATTATAAGTTTTAGATTTTGTTGATATTTTTATCAGGTGTTTCAGAATGAAGGAACATGAGCAATTCTCTGTTTCAAAAAAGAAGAATGATGAATTAAACATGGAAGAATTCTAAACAAGACAATATTATGCAATAAGGAGTCACTATATCATATGTTTTCAATATGATTAGATTGAATTAGAAGATAGAAGTAGATTAACATGCCTACCTACCATTTGGTCCAATTTTTAAAGCACCACCTTTCTGAAAAAAGAAAATTGTAAATGTGACAAAAATGCCATTTCCTCACACAACACTCTTACATATAATGTATAATTTGTGAGAACCCGCAAAACCAAGAATAGCCATGAACCAATCACCTGATTAGTTGACTATTCTGGGTGAAGTTAGTTCTGATGTTAATATGTGATGAACTAAAACCAGTTTCTACATATCTCATCTAGAACTGGGGAACGTCATCATTTTCTCTGACATTTATAAAGAAAGTATGACACAAAATAAAGGAATTAATCCTAATCTTGGTTATGAGCAGCAAGATTTCAAATAAAACTTCAGCACTTTTGTCTTTTGCTTTGTCCAGAACACCTTTGTTGTCTTTAACAACTGATAGATATTACTTGAGTTGAGTTCTATTCTATAAGCTGAATCAGCAGTTACATCCCTTTAAAACCTAACCATTTCATGAACCTACCAAAATAAAAGGAAATATGTTACCTTGACATTTGTAGCAAAAACACACAATCTACATAGAAACTCTACATCTGGTTTCAGGACATCACCTGATATAGGGGGATTATGGCATTGTTGATGGTAACCTAAAATATATAATGAAAGATTTACAATACTAAATATTTTCACTGTTCAAAAAGTGCTAAATCATCGTTTCAGGTTCTGTTTTAATATTTCTTTTTTTCCTACTTTTCAGTATTTTCTTGAGATGACAAAAACTTACAGAGAATAATGTCAGAAATTTGCAATACAAATTACAAACATTAAGGTATTGTAAAGAGGGTTAAAACAAAGTGTTTGATGATGTCACTAATCGCAAAGGGCCTTTTCTAATACAAGCATATTTTACTATTAATGATGTCATCAAACACTTTGTTTTAGTGGAATTGCAGGAACCATAGATGTCTGATTGAAAATTGGAATGGTACAAATTGATGCTATCAGTGTAATTAAAAACCTCTACAGAATCGCTTCAAGTACTGCATTTTGGCGGAATTGTACAAATAATTTTACTATGAAAATGATAGTGGAAATGAACATACTGCTCCATATGTTTATTATTACATACCTAAACCACAGTTATCACAGAGTACTATCTCATTGGGTTTATCTGAACTTTCATCTTGACAAATACAGCAAATTATCTCCCCTTTATCTCCGGCACCAATCTGTACGTCTTTATATAATATCCAATATTCGGAACTATCTTCAAAACTGATACTACATCTTACATTCTTCTCATCAATCTACAATATACAACAATTTTTATTAACATTTTATTTCAAGAGTGGTGAAGTGATACAGATGAAATATGGTAACCAAATATCACTCTACAAGATCAAACAAAGATTTTCTGGAATAAATAGAGAAATTACAAGCTAATCAATATCACTGAAATCTTCTGCTGTCCACACAATATTTCTCCCAATATAAACTTGTCACCAGGACCGTCTTTTACTAACTTAATGTCATCAAATTACTAAATTTTTGATTAAAACTCAAGCGTCAAAATAAACTTATTGAATAGGATTATTCTTAGAAAATCAAAATTTATTTTCATATGTAACTACCTTGACTATCTTTCCAAGATAAAACAGCCCATCATTCCAGCGAGCTAAAACTTCTTGATCAATCTCAAATCGGACAGACTGAGACGGTTTCACCATATCTTTGGTCTGTCTACTCTCACAGCTACCTTGTTTGACAGAAACAGAGTTGTTGTTAATCTCTGTTGACTGTTTGGCTTTACCAAGGATGCTCTTTCTACTAGCTGGTCTCCCTCGTTTTCTTTTCCTACCTCCTGTTTTTACCCCATTCATCACTGACTGATGGTCTGAAATTTTTAATATCACAGTAAATTGAAGTAAGTGAATGAAATATGCTGTAGACAACTTGGCCCCTAACTAAAATGACCCAAAGTCAAAGTGGTCCAAAATACCCAAACCCAAGTCAAAAAGGCCCCTAAAATAAATGTTCATATATTCTACTCCATGACTACATTGAGCTCTGAATTGAAATTTTTCTCTTATTTCATAAATAGAATTTTCAACTTTATTTGGTAGTTGATATTACAATTCATATGAAAATGTTGGGCAAAATTCAATTCAGATGGATCCAGTATCCATCCCATAAATTCAGCACATTATTGAGTTGATTTCAAAGAAGATTGGAGACACTCTGTGAAGTGCAATGAGAGAAAATCACAGGATAGGCAGTTCGAAACCTTTTATTTATCTGTTACCAGTTCAAGACCTCCCCCTAAGGGGCATGTTGTGCAAGTTGTAATTTCCCTCGGCCCCGCTTCCCTCTGATCATCGTCCAGAAAATCCCGCCCTATTCAAAGTTGTTAGGGATTGTCTACGTTTACCAAGGGGAAGGATTCATTGATACATATCTAGGCAGGCAGTTAACCACAATGCTCACCAGATTATTGTTAAATTCTAAACAAATTTATTATTCAATACTGAAATTCGATGAAATTCCACAGAACGCACTTTCTCCCGCCATACTTTTTCTAGCGTAGTAATACAAAATTTAAATATTTGAAAAGTTTAAAGACAAACCTCTTATTTTTTTGAATATCTGCGTTTGTCACTTTTCAGATTCAAATATAATAGAGATCAATGATGTACAACTATATTGAAAATTAGAGAAGGTGGCATAATATTTACGAGATACTATTTCAGATGCCCAGGCACATCCGGTAAATCTCAAGGTGTTGTTAGGTTTTGATTTACTTCCGGTTAGTAATAGGTGCGCCTATTTAACAAAATGAACTCAACTAAACGTTAAACTCTGTACAGAAATATTTGAGAATCAAGACTTTTTGTTTCCCTTTTTCTTTAAATACCATGCTGTGTTCAATAAGGGAAATTTAGCTAATTGAGGTATCTCTGGGTATAAGGACTCAAGGGAGATAACGCAATAACAATGTTTATCAACAAAATTTATTTTAATTAGAAAAAATCTGTACATCAATTATTATATTACAATATCATATTATCATTGGACAATTTTCTATTTTACAGAGATAGTAACCATAAATATCAAACAAGTGGATTGCATAGATTTTTAGAAAATAGCAAAGCATAGCAAATACAGTACTTTTCAATCAAACACTTCCATAAACTTTAACATTGAATCTTAAATTTTCAACTCACAAAACTATTACACAACCTGTTCACATTATACATAATTATATTACGTCATATTCCATATATCATATTTCAAACTGTTCATAACATTAACAAATATAACATATAAACATAATATATAATTACACTCTTAATATTCAAAATTAAACAACAAATGTAAATAGCAACATAACTACTCTTTCAACATTCGATATTCAATTTTCAAACATTTTATTAGATATAGAATACAAAATAGTTCACAAAATTGCAATTATAACGTCTAAAACTAAAAACCTTCCACACGATTTCCTTCAGTGAAAATTGAATAAGGCAAAAGCTATTACCTTTTTCCTGCCATTCTATCACTGGGTCATTTTATGACATAATAATTCAAGAATTAATTAATAAACCAAATATTCCTTGATTTTCAATTATTACTATAAACCACAAACCTCTATAAGTATTTCAATCTTATCAGAATAATATACGCGATAGATCTGAAACGGATTATACTCTGTCATATATTAGAAGTAGCAGAAGTCTACATGTTACATATTTTTTTTGAATTCATAAAAATGATTGAGAAATAAATTAAATAGAAACTCTGAAACCAAGTGATTCTGTGTTATAATTTAGCTGGAGTGGGAATGATTTTTTGCATATCTTTAAGAGATTTTTCTAACATATTTTTATATTTAATAGAAGATGTTTCAGGTGAGTTATTATAGGCTGAGATTGAAAAGTTTAATTGTTTTTCTTGTGGATTATAACATAGTCCGTAACCATCAGGTACCACCGGGCCAAAACACATCACAGCATCAAAACGAGCACCAACCTGGATTAAACAAACATAGAGGTTTAATTTATTGAAATATATTTACTACAGAATGATTGAATGAAAGCTGACAGTGTCCTGTAGAGGTCAATGAAGGACTTTGGCCAAAGAATTTCTGAAAAATATTTACGAATGAATAATCACTGCTGACAATGAGTTAAAATTTCTGAAATGTAAATATCAATATGATTGATAGACAGAGTTGTACCTTGTATTTTTCTATATCGTTTCTAGTGGGGAAAGTCATGCAGTGTAGAAAAAGGCCATTTTGCATTTTCAATTTTCAACTATTAAACTCTTTAAAGATTTAAAATTCTGCTTCTTTCTCTACTATTTGACTAACAATTTATAGAAAATTTCCATACAGTACAACCAAAATAAGACCATTTACTTCTTGGACTATCCAAATACATTGGTAAGGCCCAAAAATACAATGTGGATTTGAATGATAGGTAAGAAAGTTACTGAAGTCTGAACCTACCTGACTAGTAGAGAGTTTAAAATAGGTACTAGTGTTATATGAACTATCTATTACTGAAGTCTGAACCTACCTGACTAGTAGAGAGTTTAAAATAGGTACTAGTGTTATATGAACTATCTATTACTGAAGTCTGAACCTACCTGACTAGTAGAGAGTTTAAAATAGGTACTGGTGTTATATGAACTATCTATTACTGATGTCTGAACCTACCTGACTAGTAGAGAGTTTAAAATAGGTACTGGTGTTATATGAACTATCTATTACTGAAGTCTGGACCTACCTGACTAGTAGAGAGTTTAAAATAGGTACTGGTGTTATATGAACTATCTATTACTGAAGTCTGAACCTACCTGACTAGTAGAGAGTTTAAAATAGGTACTAGTGTTATATGAACTATCTATTACTGAAGTCTGAACCTACCTGACTAGTAGAGAGTTTAAAATAGGTACTAGTGTTATATGAACTATCCATATGAAGTTTAGGAACATCTAAACCTTTCTCTATAGCAGCTAGTTTTAATCCTAGTAGATGACGATCTATTACTTTACCAGTGATAGCCTGTAATCAGAGATAGAGAAAATATATTGGAGGAAAACCACAAAATATTCCCAGATCAGTTGTTTTCCAGTCATAATCAATCATTAATATCAAGTTTATAGATTTATTAGATAGCTGTAATTCTTAAATCTGTTTTTTTTTTCGGAAACAGGCTCCTGATAAAGATAAATTTAATGAAATTTGACATTCTACTGTATGCAGTGTCCATGAGGATTTTTTTCATAAACCAATGTACTTTCATAAAAATATACATTAATTAAATATGACCTGTCAGTATAATCTCAAATTTTTCTTTATTTCTTTATAAAACCGTATATTTGCAAAGTCAAGGGCAATAACTCAAGAAAAATAATTGATAAATAACAAAGTTGAATTTATCCTGGGTTAATCTGATTCGATTTGGTCTAAAAACCATTTATCCTGTATCAAATCAAATTTGATTATGGTAATCAGCGCATTTATTGTAGCAGCGAATCAAATCGATATACGTTAATCGAGTAAATAACTTTTGGAGCATCGTAGCTCTGTTAACTTCCGCTTTAGTAATGGCGTCCAACATGTTAATACAATCGAATCAGATTTAAGTGCGTAAAAATGCCTCAAAGCTGATTTGTACAGATATTTCACCAAGTCAAGGGCAGTAACTCATGATATAATAGATAATTGACAAACCTGGTCTGTATAATCTCTATGAGCCTGTACAGCTTTACGTAACAACTCTACTTTCCTCTCGTTATCTACACTAGAATCATCCATAGCTTGAGTAAAATTATACGACTCAATAGAACAGGATCTGATAGTGTCTGAACGACCTTCCTGAAATCTTCTTAATGACGCTGTTTCATACGTAGCACATGGTTCATTGTACATTCTGAGTAAAACAAGAAACAGACAACCATATTAGCTTAAAATTCTTTTTTTCTGCTACAACCTTCTCATGTTAAAGGGATATGAAAATGTTTATGTGTATCGGGGACACTGATATCATCAATTTGCACCATTCTAATATTCAATCAGACGTCTGTGGTTCCTGCAGTTCCACAAAAAGTAATTGGATTTGCCTTCTGCAATTTGAGTGTTTGATGGCGCCACTAAATACAAAATATGTGATTAGTATGTCAGCTCCATTTTCTATTCACAAAACCGATTTTCTAGCAAAGTTTTTCTAATCAAGATGTATGCATAGAAAGCCAAAAAAATATTTGATATATTTAACATGCAAAACCCGATATGTCCTTCATACTCCTGTATCTTCACCAGATAATGAAATATATTCTAATATATAATAGAACTAACCTATAATAAGCCAGTTGAAACGCCATCTGAATAAAGGCATCAGGGCTCATTCTAACAGATTTCGGGAAATTTTTACCATAATCTTTAAATGTTAGTGTACAAATATCTAAATCATCAGCAAATCTGAAATATATTTTTAACAAGGTGTTTAAATACACAGAGAAAACAAAAAGGAGTCCTACATTCTACTTTTCTGCTTCTGTGTGGGCTCCTGATGTAGGGGAATGTCATGCAGTGTACAATGAGGAAAACTTTGCCTGGATACCACTTATAGTCTACTCTATTTTGATATCAATATGTTAAAGGGTCTTATATGAGAACAGCCTATAGCAGATAGGGTCTCTGTTTATCTGCCTTCCTCACTGTCATCTCTCCCATCTGCATGTGTGACCGGGTGAATCAGGGTTTAAAAGATACTATTGTTATCATCTTGACCTATCTTGTTATTTAACACAGACCCTATGATCAGTTAGCGGTGTCTAAGTAAAGATACAGACATAATACTTTAATACATCCAGACCATCCTGTAATAAATCAAACCACAAACCTATCAGCAGCATCTTTAGCCTTCTCAATATCATCTAATATATCATTGGTTAGGGTAAATTCTAGTTTTACTGGTGGTGTTACTTCCCCTGCTCCCTCGTCTTTTTTATCATATCTTTCTCTGTTGAAATCAAATCATTAGTAATTGATAACCAATCAAATCACTAGACATTGTCACATGACTTCAATATCACCAGGTTATGTGTGTGTATATGACAACCGACCAAGATGATTGTGTGAACTTCTATCAAATTGCATATTAGACAAATAAGGGGAGGGGGTTGGTGGAGGGGGGGGGTAAGGGTGCTTGATGGTGAGTTATACACTATAGCATTCATGATACCAACCAGTTCAATTAAACTACACGCATTTGGAACAGGTTACAATGTTTTCCACCTGTGTCAAAAAAAGAAGGTATTGACAGAAATCAAAATGGTGGAGAAAGGAAAAGGAAAATAAATTTTGAAATTTGACTGGTCTGGTTCCATACTGTTCCAATGTAGCCAGAATTGGAAGCTGTTTAGAATTCACCAATCAAGCCCATCCAGATTGCAGCGTTTGTCATTTCAAATGAATTATGAATACAAGATTAAAATAAATAGTCATTGAAGTTCTTATAGGACACTAGAAATTCTATCTATTCCATCAACAAGTCTTCCTGATTGCCCAATAATGGCCAAATAAAACTAACCTTGTATCCCTTATCACATAAAATCTCAAATATTTTTGGGGATATATACTCACATAAAAGCTAGGACATGATCCATGATGGCCGCTATAGCAGGTCCTTCAGCTGTCGTATGTTCATAATTTAATCCACATCTACCATCGTCTCCTACTATAAACTAAATAATACATCAAATTTATACAGTATGTCTAGTTGATATCTTAGGGAGCCATGATGGTGGTTAATAAAAATAAATAAAATCTATAATAATTTTCAAATGGTTTGTCAAGATTTTAGCAAAGTCTTGTCTATCTATAGCCCCGTTTCCCAACCTGGGGTGTTTTCAATTGTAAATTATATTAGTATATCATACATTATATTGATCAATTATTCACAGTTTAATATATTATTACCTGAAGTGTTTTATCAAACCAGCGATTTCCTGAGAAATACTGACTACCACCTCCATATAACATCTCTTTACAGCTGATAGATTTATCTTCACCCTCATCCTTACCCTGGGGCATGGCACCATCTAAACACAACACAAATATACTGCGGTTTATATTCTCAAAGTTAGACTTGTTCTTCTTATCTACAAATATCAAAAATTAACACTAGATCAAGTATGAAAAAACCAGCCTGGATATAGCTCTATCTATTAATAGAAAATAGACATTCAACTGAGCAATTTAAAAAAAAAAGTATTGGTTGCAGGGGAACGGAAACTTCAGTGAAAAATCTGACAACTATCATCAACATAACCAAAAATATTTGAACGGCAAAATCTCTTTGGATACTAAAAAGTGAATGCTTTTCAAAGAACAGGGGCAATAATTACTTAATTTTTTCTCTTATTTTAGAATATCCAAAATATTCTTCCTTGGGTAATAATAATTAATAATTAAATATTGTTCACCATAGGAACCACTTCTTTTCAATGTGTATCTTATAAATTAATTTTACCTTTACGAAGTTTATTATAAACATCAGACCAAGTCTTTCTGTCCTGTACACCGAATATTCCTACTGGTGGTACAGGGGTCTGTGACTGGTTCACTATAGACATTAAACCCTCATAGATCTGATCTATATTCAATACATCACCTTCCTTACCATACACATCTAACGAAAATATCTACAATATAATACATCAAGTTGTCTTGATATTTTTAGTTATTAGTCAGACAACTGACTATCTTTCAATAAATCAAAATATTTTGTAGCATTTCTATCATAAGTTAAATTCCATTTCTAAAACTAGTCGTCCTGATGAGGATTGTGTATCAGAAACATGTTTCAACAGCATGAGATGAGCTCTAGTTAATCAGCTAACGTTAAGTCTTATATTGGAAATTTAACCTTCATTTCTTAAACTAGCTGTCCTGATGAGGATTGTGTATCAGAAACAGGTGTCGGCAGCATGAGATAAGCTCTGGTCTGTTAACTAATTAGAACATCATAAAAACTCATTCATGCAGGTCAAGTAGAAATTTATCTAAGGAAAGATAACTGTACCTGATTATTATGAAGAACGTTAATATGTCGAGGTGGATTGATAGAGCCGGGAGTAAAACAATAATGAGTATCTATTTTAGGCCCTGGTATTCTACAAGCTGACATTATCTTATAATATTGACTCATACACAATGGTTTACCACCTAGAGTTTCTACTGGTATTGTCTGACTGTAATATATTGCAACAAAATTAATTGTTAATTTTATTATGGCACAGGGTCCAGGCCCTGTATTCTCGAAACGATCTTAGCGCTAGGATGTCCTAGAATCAATGTTAGAATATAAGAACCTAGGACATCCTAGCGCTAAGATCGTTTCGAGAATACAGGGCCCGGGTCTCCAACATTATAGAACAAGTCCTTGACTACGTGTGTTCCTTGACTAAAGAGGCAAGGTGTGACTTTCATTGCTCTGTGAAAAAAAAAACAGTTTCCCTCTCATGAAATAATTTTGTTATATATGTTGAGAAAAGACCTACTTATCTATTCCTTGTTTATATTGTAAAGCACCAGCTACCAGCCTCGCAGCAAATCTATAAACAAAACATGATCGAGAATAATTAGTTAAAAAGAAGGGCGGGGCAATATTGGAAATAATGCGTGTTTATCATTGATATATACCGGTACGGGTATAATATATTACAGTATTTCATACAGTTCTATTTTTTATATACAGTGAAAACGATAAATTGGCCACGTTTATAAATCTGGCAAATCCTTTAATCAAGTACATGATTTTCAGAGTTTCACTGTACAATAGAGTTTTGCATCCAGCCAATAAAATAGTATTGAACATTCAATTTAAAAACAAATCCAATTTCTGATTTTCAACTAGACTACAACATTTCTCATTTCTGCTGGTTTTTACCTTCTTTCTTTGACAGTTATAATATTGATGAGGCAAGCAATGAGAATATTTACCGTAATTTTCCTTCTGTACCCTGATAATTTTGTTTAGGGAAAATAACAGCTGGATTAGAGTTGACTACGACTGGAGCACGGAAATCCAAATAGGCTACATGTTTCCACCATTCTGACAGCTATTAACAAAAATACAATAAATATTTATTCAATGTTTTATTGTGGACCAGTCTGAGGTCAGATATACTTAAAAAAAACCTCTAATATCCTACACATATATCAAAAGTAATGTACCAGCACTAGTACTAAATAACATGGAAGAACGATCAGCTCAAAATCCTATGTCTTATTTCTTATTGCTATTGCCTGAATCTATACAGCACTAAAAGTGGTTTCTGAAATTTTCTATGTTATCTAATTGTCCTATTACAATTTCTCCCTTAACAGTTTACACAACTTTTTAAACTAAATAAAGCACTGATTACACTTTCTAGAATGTGACCATGATGTGATCTTGATAGGCCTATATGTTATAAGCCACAGACAGAGTACTACATTGCTCCCTTCAATAGACTCTGGCCCAAGTTTAATAAAAGGCTTACCCAGTTATTGGTACCAGCAGCTCTTTCTTCCAGGAATTTCTGTAGAATTGGTCCAGGATGTTTTTGAAACTCTGACACAACCTGTCCAAAAATTAAATTCAAAACTAAATCACATGAAGTTCTGAAACTTACATTTCTGCTCCAGATGTAAAAATACAAGATGGATTCTATGTAGAGTGCAAACAGAGAAATTTGGCTGGACAGCAGCATGTTTTTATTTTTTCATGAACAATCTGAAACACAGGGTCTGAGTTTATTGTCCCATTGGAGGGACTACACATTATTCAATCTATAATTTCAAATAACAAGTATAAGTGATATATATCTAACAGGCCAAAAAATGTCCATCAACAAAGCATTAAATTACAACGCAAACGTATTCAATCTTCACTGATCAAAACTGAAGTTAGTATCGCTGCGATAATATCAGCCCCGTCGTTAGGGTGGGGTCCATGGGGGTCGGGCCCCAGCCAGTGAGAATTAAACCCCAGCAAAACCTTCTTCAGTTCAACAGAGATTGATTCATTTACAGTGTCTTTGTACAAAATCAAAAAGATAGAGATTTTGATATGTTTTTGGCACCTCAAAATTGTCAGAAATGAGTTTTCTGGGCCTTTAATTCTTCAAATTTTCTGAGAACAGAATCTGAGCCCCAGTACCAATTCATTCCTGGTAACAGGGCTGGTTAATATACGTCCTCATTGCTATTCTTCTAGGCTATATTTATATAACAAACGTTACCCACCTTTTCTGTATATTTATATTCATCAGGTGAAACAAGTGGTACAATACTCTTTAGATATTTATTTAGGGTGTGATCTAGAGGGGGGACAGGAAGAGTGGGTAGGGAGTCTTGTATAGAGAACATACGTCCCATATAACTCGGGGTTATTCCAGCCAACACTGGCATCCTGTTGATCATTAACAATCCATTCTCTATCTGAAATTGTAAAAAAACATCCTCAATTCCATCATGTCAATTTATAAAACACCTTTCATACTGTAGACACATTTTTCGTTTTAACAATTTTGGTCATAAATTTCAAAACTTCTTACTTTGCTATTTTCATTGATAAGGGTTTCAGGTTGCTTTTTCAACTGAGCAATGGTATTTCCATTTTTTAATTTCTAGTCTACAGTTTTATAGCCACATACTAATGAGTTTACAACGAAGTTTCTAAGAACTTCCTCACTCTTAATACTAGCGGTATTAAAATTTATGCAAAGAGCATCACAAGATTGACATAAAAATACACAAAATTTATGAAAAATGCAATGACATTTACCAAAGGTTTCTGTAAATGACGCAGCATACTTTTGATTATACTTTAAGTAGTAAGAAAGACAAAATTGGGGTCCAAAGTACAAGTAATAGAAGTGGGTCAAAAATTGAACTTTCTGTCACCCTGCTTGTTTAGAATGAAGTTTACTCAGCCATTAAATTACTGAGCAAAGGGGAACAACTCTCATTAATCTTCTTCATTTCAACCGGAAGTTTACAAAATAGTCAACATGGCCGACATCGGTAAACTTTTCTTCAAATTTTTAACTCTTTTTTTGATTTTTATAATCTTCTTTGACATTTTGTCCTTATTTGGTGAATGTTTTCGTTGTCTGTGTATTTAATTTTGATATCAAAGGATTAAGACTTAATAGGATAGTTCTTGAAGTTCATTTATCACTGTTTACTTTTTGGGGGATTGGGTCATATAACAAACAAGGCTAAAAACTATTTTTTTTAAAATATAGGCTATGCTTAATCACCTGTCACTTTTGGAGTTAAACATACCCTCTGGGCTGAACAAGTAAACTTGCAGTTTATCATTGGCTTATTCATCATCGATGCTTTCTTCATATCTTCTTTCCCATAAGGCCCAGCCATAGAATCCAAAGTCCAAACATTGGAGTTTACTATTTTTTTTATTTCTAGCTATGAATTCTGAATCAACTGTATCTGAAGGGAAAATAAGTTATCAACCTATTGATGTTGCAAATCATAATTTTATGAAACCAGTCAAACAACTTAGTCTACCAGAACATCTTCCAAAATGGGAGAAATCTAAGGTCAGTGAAAAATCCTATTGATAAAGATAGATTTTTCTGTTGATTGTCATTTTCATGAATCCAAAGACAATCTTAGACTTTCAGGAGTATTTTTTTTAATTCAAATTAAAACAATTTGCAACATGCAATTCTGCAAACAATGTGGTTAGAGAATAACTAAGAAATTGGAAACTAGAAATAATGACAGTTAATGAAATGGTTTCTTTCCAGGCATATACAGATTTATTAGGTTTAATTCTAACTTTAAATCAGAGTGTCAAGGGCAAGAAAATGACAGATGAATATCATGTTTCTAAGGTAAGTTGGAATATCTGGAATTTAAAACAGAAACAGAATAATGGAGCAGTTGGCATTTTGCTGCAAATACTTGTTTGACATTACAAGCCTCAAAATTAAAATAATTGTATGGCCATGGCAAACTCTTAAGGTTAAAGGAAAGAGTCTTAATCTTTCTTTTTCTTTCACTTCTAATTTAATGATGCAAATTTTCGTATATATACAATGTTTCTACTGGCCAAGATAAAATCTTCAGAGATGAACAGTATTTAGGTGGAGGTGTTTCATGAGTTTTGACAATATAAACAACTGGACTATTTCTGATTGGAAATAAGAAAGACATTTCGTTCTTTATAATTAAAGGAAATAGAGAAGCAAGTAGAGATTTTAGAAACATTAGATAAATGGTTAGATGAAATTCCACCAGTAGATCAACCTCAGAGGTTTGGTAATACAGCTTTTAGAGATTGGTTAAAGAAAATACAAGATGTAAGTTTATTGAGTATTGGATAATGACTTGGGTATACTTCCTCTTAGGATGATCAAAAATTGAAATTTTTAAACTTGGCTAGAATAAGACTTTGTTCATCAGTGGACCTACTTGGTGTCATAACCATACAACAGAATCTCTCTATAATCTAATAAGTCCATAAAACTATTAATTTAGGTTTTTTTTATTAAAGAATATAGAAGACTTATTAAAATGTAATTTAGAAGAGAAATTCCACCCAGCTATTATAGAACTATCAACCTATTTTATAGAAAGTTTTGGTAATTCAACTAGAATAGATTATGGATCAGGTAGGCTACTGACATTTTTCTGTTTTAAAAAATTATTTGAGAAAGCTCAACATTAAAATTAAGGCATAGTTTATTCCATTTGTCATAATGAAACTGGGGATAATGCATAAAAAATCTCATAAACCAAATTCATAGTCTTATTATTCTGAAACTTTGATCAGACTTTAGTGGCAATTTCAGCCAAACCAAACCACAGTATTCATGAAATTTGTTAAAACAGGTACAACCAGAATAATAGATAAATATAGGCCCCTGCACGATTCCACTCCAGCACAACACTCAGTGAGAGGAGGATAACTGTTCTTTTTCTTCTTCCAATACAGCGAGGATTTTATCTGCGGAATTATCTCATTATTACAGAGTTGAAATCATTACTATTTCAGGTCATGAAATGGCGTTTGCTGCCTATCTTTGTTGTTTATTTAAAATTGGTGCATTTAAAGAGGAAGATTTTGTAGCCTGTGTTTTGAAATTATTCCAAAGGTAGGTGAATATTTTAAAAATTGGATTTGGAATAGGATGATAAGAAACTGCCTTTATACTGATAACTTGTTATATTTTTAACATTTTGGATATATGTATTGGTAGACACCTGATATCACTTTCCATGATATACTTACTCACTTATAATTGATATACTTCCTTGCTGCTACCAATGTTTCACCATTATGTTGTTTTGGATTTTGGGTTTGTTTTACTGTTCAGATCGTTAGTACTTGTTTTATTTATTTAACAGTTTAAGTAGTATCTCTGACCTGGCACATTGTAATAATATTAAGTAATTTGTATTCAGGTATATGAATCTAGTGAGGAAATGTCAAACACAGTATCGTATGGAACCAGCAGGTAGTCATGGTGTCTGGAGTCTAGATGACTACCAGTTTATACCTTTCATCTGGGGCAGTTCACAACTTATTGGTTAGTTCATGTTTTACTCCCAAGACTTATTTCTGTATCTTGTCCTACTAGACACGACCTGAAGTCATTAAGGTTGTTTACTGGGATCATTTGCTGCAAGTCAAAAATAGAACACTCATTTTGCAAAATTCACAATGTAAATAAAATTGGTCATTAATTTCAGGATTTTGCATGCTTTGAAATAAACTAACCACAGTTGTAAGAATTCCATTTCTTTGCTAAAAATTCTAGTGATACCAACATTTATTAATGCAGTGACATTCCAAGATATTGAATGGCTGCAGTTTTGCAGGAATAATACGGACAAAAAGCGAGAAATTCAGAGAAATTTAAGTTGAAATAATTGTGATTGTGAAACTATTGTTGATTTCAGATCATAAAAGAATCAAACCGAAATCCTTCACTGAACCATATATTTGTAGTCAGTTTGCTAAAGATTTTATGTTTTTAGGCTGTATAGAGTATATTAATAAAGTAAGTTGTAATTGTTAAAGGCCATGAGTAATGTTGAGAAAAATTGGTTTGTCCACTCTCTTATTTAAGTGAAGTGAAGTTATTTAAGTACAAGACAGTGAAACAATTAAATTTTTCATGGTTAACAACTTAGGTTCTAAAGATTATTTTTCGGAGCTTTCTAAAACTAGCTTGATTTTTTAGCCTTATGGTCCTTGGATAAAGCTTTTAACATTCATAAGTCTCCCTGTCATATCTAAGTCAAGGTTAACTGATATTTACTTTCAATGGTTTTAGCCTTATGGTCCTTGGATAAAACTCACACAGTGAATAAAGTTTTTAACATTCATAAGTCTCCCTGTCATATCTAAGTCAAGGTTAACTGATATTTACTGATATTATTTTGATGATATAATTTATATACAATCAGGTAAAGAATGGTCCGTTTGCTGAACATTCTAATACATTATGGGGAATCAGTGCTGTACCTCACTGGACTAAAGTTAATTCTGGTTTAATTAAGATGTATAAAGCTGAGGTAAGATTGTTTAGACTTGGTTTTTGTTTCTCAAATAATTTAACTACTAAGTTTTTCTTTTATTTTCAAAATACCTTGTTAAATTATATAAAGGAAATGTCTATCTGACGATATTTTGAGAAGTTTAAAAGTTTGTATATTTTAAACAATGTATTCAGCTCAACTTTACCTTTAAAAAATGTTGTATTTCAGGTGTTAGCTAAGTTTCCTGTGATTCAACATTTTCTATTTGGTAGTTTATTATCTATTGATCCTGTTTCATGAAGTTACTTTATATTAATTATTATTATTATTACTTACTTACGCTAAAACTTACTGGTGCCAAACGACAAAGTCAACATTGATATAATACTACTTGAAACTTTTACTTTGTTAACTGAAATAATACCATTTGAAATTTCCACTTTAACTATAGACCCAGTGAACTGAAAGAGAGGTTATTGATTATTATTATTACTAACTCTAAAGAGTTTATTGTTGATTATATCTGGTGTAATAGAAAAAGTATAGTGAATTACGGTGACAAATGAAGCCAAGAGCAAATAACAATTTTATTTGTTAGGTTTTGATAGATCCAGTGATTTAAAAATGACTGTGATTTTAAATATATCATGCTAATGTTTTCTGGTGCCATAAAACCAGATCAACATTGTTATTGATATTTGGTGCCAAATGAGGACCAAGTGCTAAAAAAGATATGTTAGTTTCTGTGGAAACTATTAACTCAGAAGTTTTTGATGTATCCAGTGATTTGAAAATGACGTCTTATTAATTGTTAAGTTTACAGCAGACTTTTTCCAGTGCCATAGAACTAAGTCAACATTGTTAGTGAGGCATGATGCCAAAGAAATCAAAGTACCAATTTGTTTGGTTCACTTGAAACGTTATTTTTTTTTTGATGGATCTAGTGACAAATGACAAGAGTTAAATGATGACTTTTTTTGATGTCAGTCAATATGGATATATAGACGCATGGTGCCAATTGAAATCAAATGACAAATTACAATTTTTGTTTGTTAGCAGTTATAGAACAAGTGAACACCGTACCTTGTCACCATTGTTTTACATATAAATATGGTGACAGATATCATTAATGTATTTGTGGATGCTGTAAATGACTGAAATACTATTATTAAATATTTATGGGGAGTTTATTATGATGATATCAGCCAATCCATGCCGTTATGATCATACGAATATATTTGGGAAAAATTGTAATCAACGAGGTCACATACGAGAAGTAAGCTTGAACAAATCTTAGAAATAAATTTCACAGTAATATAAAGGTTTGAGAATCACGAGTATATTATAAGCAATAAAAATATTTACTATTGTATTTTAACAAAGTTTCTGGAGAAAGGGTGGGGGTAAATGTTATCACTATATTTAGAAATGAGATGAATAGAGTTTTATATTCTATTTTTCTGCACCATGTGGGCTAATCAGTATATTGAGAGTGATAACAGAAATACCAAGCAACATTAAAAATCGTGATCGTCTCGCAAAAGACGCTCTTCTACCTCAAAATTAAACACTTCCTGTTAGGTATGAAAATGTCCTAAGATGTTTATTAAACACGTTTCACCTGAATTGTTGGTATGGATGAAAAAAAGTTGTAGTCAATTCTGTGCCAATTCTTCAAAAGTCCAACTTGGTTTTTCCATCTATTCATTACTCTATTGCTATCACAAGTCATTGGTAAACTTTTAAAAACATTTAATATTCTGTAAATAGCTAAAGTTTAAACAGTGATTACATATTGATTCTATTTCTATATACTGACAAATTTTTAGAAAAAAAATACTGCAAGGCAAGAAATTTTTAACTTCATGCTTATTCTTATTGAGCCTGCACGTGGGTCACTAACAATGATTTTAACATTTTCTTCATGTGATAATTCAATAATTAAGATGATTTTTAACATATTTTATAGGTATTTTAGCAATGTCAATTTTTTTGAGAATATATTGAAGTATATTTCTTGTCTTGCAGATTGTGACCAGAATAAAATTATATCAATAAAAAATGCTTTGAATACTTAACTATCTGTATATTAATTGATTAATTTAAGTTATAAACCTGAATCATAGATATAGAGAAACTGGGTTTAAAACTAAAGAAAATGAATATTAAAGGAGCCCTTACACTATAACTATTACTAGTTGTGAATGGTTGTGAATAATGAAAGTGATCATGAGTTGTGAACATAACTCACAACTCAGTAACATGAGAGTTGTGTTTGAAACTTATGACCGCTTTATTTATTCACAACCATACACAACTGGTGATCACTATAGTGTAAGGTCCAGTTTGACACCCTGTATCTGTAGGTGAAAGAATAACAAGATACAATCTACAATCTATAACTACAATCAGAATGGCAATGTGAGAACAAATTAAATAAAAAACAAAATTTAAAACAAGATTCTTATATTTACATAAAATAAACAAAATTATACATTATCTGTCTCTAGATAACACTAACTAACTCAAACAAGAAGGATAAATTGTTAAGTGCCATACAATAAGATGATTTCTCATCTTTAGTTTTGAATACAATGAGAAGAGCAGTGTTTGATATAAATATATATCTAGTTAAAGCTCTCGGTAATAATCAATACACAAAACAAACAGACAAACAGACGAGCTATCATACAATAACAATATAATATTGCACTGGGAGATAATAAAACACAGATACTCTATAAATTATACTTCAATGTTCAAACACAAATCTGTATTTTGGGTTTAATTTTTCAGTTTTTTTTTAGTTTGTCTGAGGATTTTTAAGATTTTTCTTCAATTTCCTATCTTGAAATGATGTGAAAATATTTGCATTGCCATTATGATAGCATAATGTTCATTTTATTATAGCCTTGATCACTTTGAAATTCTGAATTAGCTTGAAAGTTGTCAGATTGTATAACTTGTCAGAAGTTCCTGAGTTATAGAGTTTTGTTCTAGAGCAGAGATATTTTTTACACATCTTGATTAAATAGAAACTATACAAGTCAGACTTGTATTCTGTTGATTATTACTTATACTTCTCTATAATTAAAGTAGACTTTGTTTATGTTTAGAATCAGACCAAGATGTATAGAAATATTTCTACTTAACAAAAATCTCTTGATCCCTCATCATTAGGAATGTAATTAATTAATAATCAGCAATATCACAATAATAATAACACATTGAAAACTATAAAAAAATATAGGAACAAGCAAAGATGTCACAAACATGTCCACATCCATAATTCCATACAAATAATATAAAGAGTCTATTTTATTTTGAGGTAAGAGAAGTAGTAATAAATACAATATTAATCTGGTTTGTATAGTATCAATAGCTATTTATACTACCTCATAATAAATTGGACTGTCCCAGTTAATGTTTTGAATGTGACCCAGTGTATTAAATATTAAACATTCAGTGTTATTTAAATGTTAATAAATCTACATAACAGTGGTGGAACCAGGTTTACGTCTGAGAGGGGGCCAGATATCTGAGATTGCCCAAATCCTTAACCTAGTTATGAGATTTTTGCCCGAAAAACATGCTTTCGGGGCGGCGGCTGTCACATCTGCCCCTCCTTAGGCTCTGCAACTGCTACATAACATAATGTTCTTTGCTTTATTTTTTTTATTATAACATTTCTATTCTCTTAATATAGAAGATTGAAATTATTTAAACAGTGATGATATACCAGCAAGCAGTCTGTAGTGAGACAATGAAATAAATAATAAGCTAAAGATGATACTAGTAGTAATATTATAATATAATGACACATATAGAGATATTTAACATTACACTATAATAATAACAAGTTATAATAGATGAAAATAGTGAGTTGATAACACTGTGAGCTAATCAAATTATTGTTTTATATACCTGCTATAATTCTACCAACTTTTTCAAACACTAACATGTAGATAACCAATGAAAATTGTGATCTATATCATTGATAATAAATATGAAAGTTAAATTATTGGTTAACTATTATTACGTCAGTGTTAACTGATAGAATCAAACTTTGGTACAAAGATGTAAACAAGCAATATATTTGATATTTTGAGAATATTTCTATAAACAAACACTAGAACAAGACTGAAAAGTTTGAAATAATAGATTATAGTTTCTCTATCTTCTACTATATACTGGAATAGACTACAACTTGTAGTCTACAAGGTTAAAATATCACTTTAAGACGAACTCCCCAAATCTCTCAAATCTCCTAAAAACCCTTCTGGTGTCAGAACATGGGTTCCACCTGAAATTATAAGACAATAAAATAGGTCACCGACACTAGTGAATGGATGGATTGAAGGATGGATGGATGAATGAATGAGTGGATGGATGGATGAATAACATAATGAATGAATGAATGAATGAATGGATGAATGAATGAATGAATGAATGAATGGATGGATGGATGATTGAATGAATGAATGAATGAATGAATGAATGAATGAATGAATGAATGGATGGATGATTGAATGGTTTTATAAATGAATTAATGGATGGATAAATGAAAAGGTGTGCATGTTTCTTTCATATCTTAGAATATCCTTTAATGAAAGCAAACACAGTTTAACACCCTACTTTTCTGATTTAGCATGAGAATTTTTGGGCTATAGTCGTAACAGTGTATAGTGAGGGAAATTTGATTTTAACATTATATAAAGTTTACAAGTACATACCTATCAAAACTTCCCAATTCTTAACAGCATGAGTAACTTCATATGCTACCCTCATTTCAGAGTAGGTGATTCCCCCAATACCAAATATAATAATTCTAGGAACGTTTCTAGCACTGGATTGACCTTTTTCTTTATGCCAATGTCCAAAACGTACACTGAAATATAATTTGATAAAATAACCAGAGATGTAAAGATGTAAGTGACCATTAAATTCATTTCAAGAACTTTTGTGAAGCGTAGGATGCGAAGCGTCTAATTCAGAAAAGAAATGAATCTGCCACCCATTTCCGGAAGTCTTATATCTATGAATAATTATTAAGATTAATAAGATAAGATAATCTCTATATTTCCATTCATCAAAGGGTCTAACAAGACAGACTGGCATACAAGATCTCAGGTTTACCTCTATCCCTTACGTAAGCTAACATAAATTGTTTTGAAAAAACCTATAAGGTTTGTCTGTGTATAAGAGACACTTCTAGCTCCTATTTACAGTGTTCAGATTTGCCAAGTTCATGTTTTCTAGATTCTCTATAAGATATATATTAAGATATATTAAGATAAATTAAGATATTTTAAGATAAATTAAGATATTTTAAGATAAATCAAGATAAAGTAAGATAAATTAAGATATATTAAGATATATTAAGATAAATTAAGATACATTAAGATAAATCAAGACATATTAAGATAAATCAAGATATATTAAGATAAATCAAGATACATTAAGATAAATCAAGATATATTAAGATAAATCAAGATAAATCAAGATACATTAAGATAAATCAAGATATATTAAGATAAATCAAGATATATTAAGATAAATCAAGATACATTAAGATAAATCAAGATATATTAAGATAAATCAAGATATATTAAGATAAATCAAGATAAATTAATATATATTAAGATAAATCAAGATATATTAAGATAAATCAAGATACATTAAGATAAATCAAGATATATTAATATAAATCAAGATACATTAAGATAAATCAAGATATATTAAGATAAATTAAGATATATTAAGATAAATTAAGATATATTTACCTCCTAGGTAGAGATGACATGTAAGTTGTTCTAGCAGCTCCTCCTGATAGATAGGGAAAATGTTTAACATCTAGTTTATCTTCTACAATATCCTACAAATATCATTTCATTCTTATCATTAAAACATAATTTACTACATTCTCTTACTGTATATCTATAATAGTGTTCTTATTCATTGAATACTCTATCTACTTCTAAATATCATTTATAAATTATACTCTTACTGTTTTAATAGTTTTGTTGATAATTCACATTTTTAAAGTTAGAAGTTTTATAGTGAATTGAAATATCAGCTTAAAAAAAGCACTGAAAGTTTTAGATTGGATACATTGATAGAAATACAAACATAAGCACATCTCTTCATTTTGATTGTGTTCATAGTTGATAATTCTAATAATATCAGAGAGTGAGTATATACAGTAGTATATGAAATTTCTCAGAGTGATGTATGATAATATCAAATGTTAATTTGTAAAAGTTTGAATTTCTTTAAATGTCATTTAGTAAAGAAAACTATAATATTTAGACACAGCTTTATGGAATAACAATCACTGGTTAAAGTTTTATACAATGTTTCGACGTGTTTCTCCTGTTGTCTTCAGGAATTAAAATAACTTAAACTTACCTCTAGAATATCTTTAAGATAAGGTGTCCAACGTGACATTTGATACTGATGTTCTTGAGCTCGTATTTTACGATTGCTAGGTATATAGGGTTGAGGTGGCTTCCGGCGACTTCCCTGCAAAATTCAACATTAAAAACAACTTATATCAGCCCTTGTTAAATTTTTATTCATCTTATCAGAGTTAAATTGTATATACCACAATTACGTCAACTCAATAACAACACGTCAATTTTCAGACTTAGACTAATATTAAAAAATCGGGACGTTTGTTTTTTTGATTTTCCTATTTCTTCTTTTTATAAAAGTTAAGTCATAGTTTTTATTTATTAATATTTTGATGAAAAACAACATTAGTTTAGACTAGATTAAGTTGTAAATGAGAACTAACTATTTTCTGTGTAGGTCTGTGTAGTTTTTGTCTGTAGATAATTATTGAAATTAGTTGATTTTAGTAATGCGTTCTTCAGGGCAATTTTTTCAAAAAGAATCATAAGCCAGCTAAAAGCTTTGAATTAATTCTATTTATGTCTGTCTGTAAATTATCAGCAAATTGTCTAACAATAAAATGTACACATGCAAATATTTGCAAAAATGACAAAAACTGATTTTTTTTACAAAAATATATATTTTCTAGACAAGACTCCATGCTAAGATAAAATATTAAATAGTCTTCCATAACCTAGAGACCTTCTCCAAATACACAACAATTTTCTACTTAGAGAGTTCAAATGATTGTTCATTTAAACAAGAAATATAGAATCCCTTTAAGTGTCCCCTGTCCCCTGAAATAACATTACCCTACCCTGCATCATAAGGAATAACTTCACAGGGAAAATTCAAAATTCATTGTAGACCTTTTTCATTATCCAGAGAGACTTTTCTACCAGATTTTTCTACTAATTTCTAGAAACGGCAAAGTCTAATAAATGATCAATAAGATCTCTCGAAGCTTCATTTGAAAACACCTCATGTGATTTCCTACACCAGAAAAAGAGACTAGCCGAAAGCCACTGAATTGCCAAACTATCCCAGATATATCTATCTCAAAAACAGAAAGTTTCCCTCCGTAATCATAATAATACCTAGGTCAAAAAACATTAGAGTGAAACTAGTGTATATCTAGAGTGATATGAAAAGATGGGACGTCTCTGGAAGCAAAGCTCCTCCTACCTAAGCATCATTTAGAAAATACCTAATGTATCTTATTTCTTAAAAATACCTACAAAAATCAAATATATTTACAGACTTTGCAAGAAAATTGCAAAAATTTGAGTAATAAGAAAAAATAAAATGAAAAAAAGGGAGTCAAAATAAACGAAAAGCCAACAAAATAAGGTCATGTATTAAAATGACGTAGGCAGAGCTAGTAGGTTGAAGGTTGCGACCTATCTCACCTGAGTGAAGTTTGATTGAAACGTTCCATAGCTAGCATTGTCCTGTAATAGACGAGTCCAAGTGCAAACAGAAGGGTGGAAAGGTGCAAAATTTATTTCAAAGCAGAAGACATCATTCAGAAAAAATAGTTAAAAATGAGAAATTCAAACTTCAAGCAGTGAGGATATTTCTAGATCAGTTTGTTTTTCTTCAAATTAGATAAAAAACAGAAATATTCATTCAGAAGTTGAAATATTGCAAATAGTAAAAATGCAAGGTTGGGTGCAATTTTAGGTAAAATACAAGAAAGATAAAAAAGATTTCTCATTATGCAAGTAAAAATGAAAAAAAGGGAAAATTGATCAAAAATGGATTTTCTATAAAAGTTAGGTTCAACTGGACAATATTAGAAATGGAAGCAGAAGAGTAAATTCAAATTTTGTGTCACTGAATCTAATTTTTCGAAAGTCATGAAGCATTTTTGGTGGCACTCGATTGGTGAGTTCTGAACAGGTTCCGTCTGTTCCAATTCTGACCTCAATCAAACGGTATGGAAGCGGAATATGTCACATTTACACTTTCTCCGTCTATTTCCTTCTGTGCCATTTTGAATTCTATCTGCACCTACTATTTTTTTCGGCACACCAAGAACGCATTCTGAACTGTGTTTCAACTTGTTTTATTGATCTTTCTGTTGATTCTATAAATCCTGAACGCACAGAATTCATCAATCGAGTGGCCCCTTTTTATACAAACAGATTCTTAAAAACAATGAGAGAATAAAATAACTAAGAAAAATAATTCAAACTTGAAAATTGTAAGATGAAAAATAAAAGTAAAATTTAAAAATAAACTGGACTTACATCTTGTATAATAGGGACACCAAGATTCTGCATGTTAGACAAAATACATTTCTCTTCTCCTGGGATCTGGGCATGTTGAACTAATTTAGCTAAATTCTCTTCAGAAATACCTAGTCAAATATACAATAGAAATATATATTTCCAAAGTTTTCAATGTACATGATTTAAATTCATGAATATATTGAAAAAAAGCAAGATAACTTCTTCTCACAGAAACTATCAGTTAAGCTAAGATTCCATATACGCGTCATGCAGACATAAATGGCCCTTGCGGATCCGTCATGCGTCAAATATGATTCCATATGTGCGTTAAAACGTAAGCTTATGCGTTATCTTTCCTTTGACGCGCGGACTTCTAGACAGATGGATGCTTTGGTGCATAAAAAAGACAGGGAATTCCCACAAAATACGTCACGTCACGGGAGATTTCTGCGTGGAAAGGCGTCCGGATGCATCAAAAAAATTTTTGACGCAAGACAGAGACCATTTGACGGATACCGCTTCCACATATATGGAATCATACCATCTTAAACCAACCATTTCCATTTTTACCGGATGACACATGACAGATCCGCATGACGCGTATATGGAATCTTAGCTTTAGGAGTAATAAGTATAAAATGAAAAAATTAATGGAGTTTTACACCCATCCTTTCTGATCATTGGAAGCAAGTAGTAGATATTGGGAAGTAGATGAGGAATATCTGATAACAATAGCAGAATAACCATAGAAATAAAAAAAAACATCAGCATTTCAATAAAAAGTATCTGCTGTCTACATTTTCATTCATAAAGGTATATAGAAATACTCAATATCAATATAGGTTAGGTAAGATGCCTGAGAAATATTATCAAAATATTCATTGATTAAAGTAATAATGACCTGTATCTATTATATACAAGTTGTAATTATTCCTACCTCCTTTATGTATAATATATAACAGAATGATTCGTATTTTATCATACGCTGTCACGTTCTGATCTAATAATATCGGCACGATGTTTCTCATGTGATCTTTTATCTTTTCACCCTCCGCATCGGCTCCCATAGCTAGATCCTAAAGAATAAATCATTGCTTACAAAACAATACTTAATCATCTGCTTCCATTTCTAGTTCCTTAAGTATACCATGCTTTTATGTAGACAGCAATCATTAACAAACAACCTACAGGCCACATGTTTTTATACATCAATATGAAACAATAAAGGCATATTTAGAAGAGATCATATTATAATAATTAAGAGGTGTTTATATTGGCTATCATTTAACCATACATCAAATTAAATAACAAAACATAACTATAAAGTTATACTACTCTTTGGTTTAATTGTACACAAACAATGTTTCAACAATTTACATTGTCATCAATGTAAATTGTTGAAACGTTGTGTACAATAAAACTCAGGAGTAGTATACCATATAAACTGATGATGACAATGTAAATTGTTGAAACGTTGTGTACAATAAAACTCAGGAGTAGTATACTATATAAACTGATGATGACAATGTAAATTGTTGAAACGTTGTGTACAATAAAACTCAGGAGTAGTATACTATATAAACTGATGATGACAATGTAAATTGTTGAAACGTTGTGTACAATAAAACTCAGGAGTAGTATACCATATAAACTGATGATGACAATGTAAATTGTAGAAACATTGTGTACAATAAAACTCAGGAGTAGTATACCATATAAACTGATGATGACAATGTAAATTGTTGAAACATTGTGTACAATAAAACTCAGGAGTAGTATATCATATAAACTGATGATGACAATGTAAATTGTTGAAACATTGTGTACAATAAAACTCAGGAGTAGTATATCATATAAACTGATGATGACAATGTAAATTGTTGAAACATTGTGTACAATAAAACCAGGGAGTAGTATATCATATAAACTGATGATGACAATGTAAATTGTTGAAACGTTGTGTACAATAAAACCCAGGAGTAGTATACCAATTAAATTGATGGTGACAATGTAAATTGTTGAAACATTGTGTACAATAAAACTCAGAAGTAGTATACTATATAAACTGATGATAACAATGTAAATTGTTGAAACGTTGTGTACAATAAAACCCAGGAGTAGTATACCATATAAACTGATGATGACAATGTAAATTGTTGAAACATTGTGTACAATAAAACTCAGGAGTAGTATACCATATAAACTGATGATGACAATGTAAATTGTTGAAACGTTGTGTACAATAAAACTATCAGTAAAAGTATACCATAAAATTGCATTATCTAATGTAATCTGTACCCCTAAATATCAAGGATTATCAATAAATTATAAAATTACCTGTTCAACTTTACAGAGTTTATCAGTATGTTTCTGGTATTGTCTCATACAATCTTCTGCTAGATGGAGATGAGTAGAATATTTATTTAATTCTTTACGATATTGGGGCATCTTTTTCAACATCTGAGACAAATCTCTCATGTTAGATTTCTCCGTATTCGACATCTTTTTATCAACCGCAAACTGTTTCAGTTTCTTCGTAACTTGTCTGTGAAAATATATAAACATTCGTAAAGCTAGTCAAATTTTACAAATTCACCATATACAAAAACTCTAAGGCTACTTTCCTACTTTGTACATAGCCTGAATCTTTAGCATAGACCTTAGGTGTCTTATTTCAAACCAGTCATCATTGGCTATGTTTTCAGAAATTGTAAACTTTAATTCATTTTTCTTATAAAAAAAGAAGCTTATGTTTATAATGTAGTCAAAACTTTATTGATTTCTATTTAAGACTTGCTTAAAAATAAATAAAACACAGAAATATTTTAATAGGACTAATAATATGCTGTTCAAATATATTAGTTTTCTACGTGAGACCTATACAACTCTTCAATATAAAGATAAGAAAAGTGTACATACTGAGAAACAACAGCAATATGTTGATGTCGTAATTCTTGCCACAATTCATCATTATCATCTAATAACACTTCTTTTTCAGCTACGTCTTGTCCTGTAGCACTTTCATATCTATAAATATAACATAAAAAATATATTGAAGTCTTTTCCTTACCTCTTATATCTAGAATTAAACATAACAAAATAAACTTTCGGGCTATATGTCCTACTGTTTTACAGCTTTTATGATTTAAAGACAGAAAGTACAACGCCATGTGTCACTAGAAAACTTTCTGGTCTTCCATAAGTTTATTAGCCAATTGTCAAACTTGACCAACCAGTAGCACACAGAGTTGTTTTTAAACTGATTCAAATTTTCACTAATCCCCTACATCATTGTCAATACGAAACCAGCTTATTTATTTATCATCCAATGTATATAAATTGTGTTCTGTAGGGTGCCGAAAACATGTATCACTAACTTAGTATAAACAAGGGCAGTAATTCTTGACTTACTTGTAAACATCATTATCAATAGGTAATAAATCATAAGACATAGCTTGAAAAGTAAGTTCATGTAATAATGGTGATACAGGATCAAAACCTCGGTCTAATATCAACAATACACTACGATCTTTCTGATGACCCTGAAAATATCAACCATTTTTACTGTAATTTAACATGTTTAGGATAAATAAATTTGAAGAATTAATCTTTATAGTTAGTTACCTCCCAATCTAAATTTCAACTTTGAAAGTTTCTGTCTTGAAGATAAAGAAATAGAAATTAGCGTACCTCTCCCATAGTATGATCATCAGCTCTATAGGCATCTAATTTCTGTTGAATGAGTTGAGAAAACTCAGCATTACGATCAAAATCACTGTAATTAAACAATTTTACAATTAAAAGTTATCACAATTACATATTCAACTAAGCAATAGAATCACTATTGTCAAAGATGTCAAACTTGACCAACCAGTAGCACACAGAGTTGTTTTTAAACCGATTCAAATTTTCACTAATCCCCTACATCATTGTCAATACGAAACCAGCTTATTTATTTATCATCCAATGTATATATCATATTAATAAATCCCTAAAACTAAGTAAATATTCAAAAGGCAGTTTTTTGCGATCAATGACTTCATCAAACACTTAGTTTTAGTGAAATCGCAAAACCTACAGACGTCTGATTGAAAATTGAAATGCTGCAAATCAATGTTATCAGTATCCCCGATACACATACAAAGTTAAGAAAACCTCTTTATAATCCCTTTAACTTAAAGTTTGGTCAAGTAAACGAGAAAATATATAAAACCTTACCTTCTATATCTGACAGCAGGATACTCTCCTAGTGTAGCACACAGTGTGGCTATCTGTTCAGCACATCTCTCTAGATTCATAGCTCTATTCATCAGTCTATTAGGATTGTAATAAAACTGAAATGTTATCGGTGAATCTAAAGAATACACCTGAAAAACAAAAACAGATCATGGTTTATAAAATAAAATACACCTGAAATCACAAATATAATCTATGTTTTATAAGGTATTTAAAAATTTTCAGGATTTTTAGGGCCTTAAATTTCAAGTGAAAACAAGTTTGTTACAATGCAGGAGATAGATAAGGTTAATAATAGCTGCCCTTTGAAGCATTTCTATAAATACTTGCTTGGCAATGCAGTAAAGAAGGCCCTGTAGGTCAAGATAACAGATACTATATATAGCTTACCTGTGATTCATACGGTAGAAAAGCAATATTGATTTCTTTTAATGTTTTTATAAATTTACCAGACGTAGATTTACATAGTTCATTGAATAACTCATCAGGACAGGCTGTAAATAAAACACAGAAATCATAATTATTATAATCTTTATTTAAACCAAGCCTATTCAGTAATATAAAGATAGGACACAGTAGAAATATCACAAGTGTTGAAGAGTGGAAATTAGTTTAGTTTTAGCTAGAGGAAAAAACTAGAAAGGAATCGAATTCCAAGATTTGGACACTACCTATCTATATAAAACAGTTATATTTACCTTCAGTGAAGAAAACATGAGCACATTTATACATGGTATTATTAGGATTCTGGAAATCAGCTATTAAAGCTCGGATTGACTGAAATTACAAGTTTGAAAATAACTAAATAAACTGATAAATCATTACCCATAGCCAAAGAATTTCCTATGTATTAATATATGTATATAACAAATTGTATTTCATGAGAACACTTATTAGTGGAAAGACCTACAAATAATGAATTCACAATTAATTCATTCAGATAAAGCTATCTACAAGATTATGGTTGAAGAATTGAAACCAAAATGTATGTGGCTCTTAAACATCTACATCTGGCCCCGTATTCTCGAAAAGATCTTAGCGCTAGGATGTCCTAGAATCATTGTTAGAAGATCAGAATCTAGGACATTTCGAGAATACGTGGATGACTAAACTTTTCCTACTCACTTATTATTATTCTGATGTAATAATATATATAAACAATGCAGTATCATTTTAAAGGCTCCAGACCTAATTATAATCTGAAAATTTTAAATCCTACCTTTTCTGAAGGAGTAATAAGATAAATAGCATCTAATAATTGTAATGGTTCTCTTCTTTTATTGATATCTTCTACCACTACAATAAAAACAACATAGTTATAGATATACAAACCACTTGACAAAACAGTTGGTTTGATTTAATTGTAGATGAACAGGGCATCTGATGTACTATTTGAAAAATGATATTGACCTGTCTGTTTGTAGCAGTTTGTTTCATTATATGAAGTACCAACACTATTGAGTCAAACACTAGGTGGCACGCTAGTGAAGTAAGACAATTGAGTTATCAATACAGTTTCATCCGCTACAGTACTAATAGTAATTATAGTGCGTTTGCCAGTCTAATTCAGTTATTCAGCAGTGATTAGCTGATTCTGATTCCAGTTTCTCAAGCATACCAGTAGTAAAGAGAATTTTACTGTCCTGCATTTACAAATGGAATCCATTAATTCATACATTACAAAAATGAGTTAACATGTCTTCAGAGCACAGAATTACATCTTCACATTGGTAAAAGTAATCAGTCTTCACATTATACCTTGACTGCAATGACCCACTTTCTTGTGAAAACATACTACGTACCTTGACCATAGTGAAGAGGACAGAATTTATACTTACATGTCACACCCTGTCCCATGATTTCATGCATTTTACAACAAGCTGAAATCATCCTCATACTCAGTTGATCTACAATCAAAACTTTCCATTCACTTGTTTTTCTGGCTGCCAGGATGACATCTGCCATAATCTCTGCAATTCAAAAAACAGAAACAAAATTAATCACTGTTACTATTAGACTAGCTTAATACTTACTATCAAAGTAAAAACAAAGCCTAAAGTTTTGCGTTTTCTCGTCTGTTTTAAGCTTTATAATGTGCTGATCAACACCACTCAGCGTGACTACAGGAAAAATGCTTCACAACCCGGGATGGTTGGGAACCCAGGGTCTATGGTAAGCGATTTATTCTTCTAGACCTCCATCATATTGTTTATTGTTTTTGACTACCTATTCGGAATGTGTATTTGGATATTAAAGTATTACAATATATCCATCACCTAATTTAATTGGGTCATATTTACCAGAAATCTCTAGGAGGGCAGACATTCTAAAACTCATGGCAAACAATTGAAAATCTTATTTTGATTGATAATTGACAGAAAAAAATCAATTACACTGAGCTCATTGACATTGTGGTCGAGGACTGTGGAAACATATTAATTCAGATGAGAGTTAGGCTTTTAGACCTTGAAACCTTGAAACCCTCAACAAAACCAGATGATGTGTAGGGCCTATAGGTGATATCATAATATATGAACACTACAAAAATCTGGACTACAGAAAATGTCAAAATGACTTATGTCGTATGAGGGCGTGACATTTTCAAAAGTTTCGTGTCGATATCCAGTTCATAGGACGGATCACCAACAATCAAGGCTCAAGTTTAAAAGTTCAATCATTTCTTTAGAAGTTGAACCAGAAAATAATTCGTATGCATGCAACTGAAAGAAGTTATGGTAATTTATATTTGCTTACTATCGTGAACAGCTTTCTGTAACGCCATCTTGAATGACTAACTAACAATTTATTGCATTATGGGATTTATTATTATTTTGGTTTCTAAAATTCTAAACCGATAAATTTTCAACCAAACGAAATAAATTAAAAACATTCAGCATTTTATTAAAATAGAATTATCATTGTTCCATAAACTGGATTTGGAAAGGGTTTTGTTATCGACAATGAATTCAATCATCATTCTTAAGACACGACTTCAAAATATAGAGAAGTAGATAAATGGATTTCTCTCCCTTTATTTATCAATCAGCACGCGCCCTATTTCTTTGATGAAAGCCGCCAGACTGTAGACTCGATTTTATCAGACTGAAACTAAAGAGGAATATATAGAAAGTAGGTCATTACTAGATAATAGAGACTACTCAACATGGTGGTTCAGCTTCCGATTTTTAATTGAAGAAGTGTTTTTATGAAATTAAATCCTCAATTCAGAAGAAGGAAGCAATTTTTGAGGATTTTTATTTCGGCATGGATATTTAGAAATTACTGAACTGTGCAGAAATCAAGCAAGATGTCGAGTAAATCGGATAAAGGTAGGAGAATTTAGTTATTTCAATGTGTTTATGTTTCAACAGCCAACTGCAGTGAGTCCAAACTGACAGTTCACTATTCATAGTTCACAGTTCAAGTAGAGTGGGTTCGAACTGACTAATAATGATCTGTATAACATATATATGATGGCTCTCAAACCTACCTTCCCCCCTTACTTATCTATATAGCAAAATATAACATATACATGATAACTTTCAAACCTACCTTCCCCCCTTACTTATCTATATAGCAAAATATAACATGTTTATGGGTACAAAATAAGGTATCCAGTTTATACAGCAACAAACCAAAACTGTAACAAATCTTGATAGTCGAAACAGTGACAGATTAACCAAATTGGTAACAGAAATTTGGTTATAACGGTAACATATCAAGCTAACGGTCTCGTTCCTGACATAAGCTTAAGGTTGGAGTGACAATTTGTTTTGACTATTAAAGTTTATTAGCGTTTTGGTTTGTTACTGTCCTGTTCTGAGAATCCAGAAGCCTTTATTGCAAAACATTTTAGTAACCAGTTAAATATTCAGACCGCTTTACTATAAATCTTTGCTGTATGACTGTGCAAGTGTTTTTATGACGCTATGTTTTCATGGCTTACAGTAGTTTAGCCCTTTTTTAATTTCCTTCCTGCTATATAATACAAGGGTTTCCCCTTCTTTTCAATTTCAGCCTCTATTATACAATACAAGGGTTACAGGGGTTTTTCCCCTTTTCAATTCCACCATTTACTTGTTCCTCCACAAGTGGTTTCCCCCCTTTTTCAATTTCAACCTCTATTATACATACAGTAGGCTATTAACTATAAACAGTACATTAAACATCAAAGATCAAATCAATACATTGAATTAATTTATCACACCACTTTCCTTAAAATAATCACTGACTGAATTACATTGACACTGTTATAAATAAGACTAGTTAATCTCAAGTATTAAGAATAGACCTATATTTAATAAAATCTTCTGTTTTTTAGAATATGTGAAAACAATATTGCTGAAGATTAAGGATACATCTTGTAATTTAATTAGCACCTTTTATATTTAAACTCTGATGCTTACAGATTGATTATTATTCCTCTTTAAACATCAATTTCCAGTCTTTAACTTTTTATAAATGTGTGTTGCTTGTAGTGCTGGGTAAAATGATCAAAATAATTGATTATCGTCCCTAGGAATTTATAATTTCAATTAACGATTATCAAATTTCATAATCGATTATATGTCAAAGTTACATTTTCTCCACTGTACCTGTTAACAAGTAGTAATCTCTTCCACATAGGCTCCCTTCAGCACATAACATACCCACAATAAACTATAATAACTGATCAAAGCAAGAATATACTGTACTTTAATGATGCAAAAATTACCCATAAAATTAAGAACTTTGGCATGTTTTTATTTAATATTAACAGGGTTTTTCAATTGAATTATTTTGATTATTAATCATTATTCTGCCATCGATAATCTATCTGAATTTGGTTATTGATACCCAGCCCTAGTTGCTTAAATAATGATCAACTTCATTCATGGCTTATTAGTCACATACACCATAGATAGTCAACATTATAAATCATTTACTAGTTCACTGATATCACATCATCTAATATAAGATAAAATACCTAAATAAACAAGACTCTACTGGTATGTAAAATCACAATATTAGATTATACTCCTTCACAAATTAAGATTAATTATTGTTGTTAAATAGAAGAGATTATTTCAATTAAAAACCTTTTTTTTTTTATTGTCAAGTTATTTTTAGAGGGTTTTTTTTAGTGCATTTCCTAGATTTTCCAATCAATCAATCAATCAATCAATCAATCAATCAATCAATCAATCAATATGAGATGTATGTATATTAGTCTAGAAAATCAGATTTTTCCATGTTAAAATATTTCTGGCCATTCTCATGTAATAAATTAATTGAACATTGGCATAGCAGTAACTCTGCATAGGCTGTACCAGTATTAGGGGGAAAGATAAACTTCTAACTTTTAAAGAAAATGAATGGAAAATTGATATATTTAAAAACAGTTATTTCTGTATACTCAGAGGTAAAGATAAAGTTGTATTTTAGTCAGAAATTGATTGAAAATTTCAAGTGTTTGAGGTGTAATCAGCATGAAAGTGTATTTTTATAACAACTTTCAATGTGTCTGATGGAAAGTTATCAAGTTACTGTCAGACTTGTTACAATAATTACATTAAATCAATCAAATTGGCTATATCGAGACTGAAATACTTCAATCACAATCTCAATTGGTAGGCAGTTAGATTCCAGACAGGCCAGTTATTTAGTGGATTAATCACCACTTTTCATAAAAATAGGCACAATGGCAGACCATACTAGTTCTCATACTGAAATATCCATGTTGAATCAATTTTCAATATTTATACTGTTTGGAAGGCTGCAATTAAACCTCCATAGCTACGAAGAGTTTTACATTTATCACCTAGCATACCATATTTGATCTAATACATCCAGTTTGGATCAATTTTTGAATATTTATTTTTTTGTAAGGCAGAAGTTCAAACTTGATTCACTAGGCTATATGAATATCTTCTTGAAGGGGTTAACAACTTTGGAACCTTTTTAAACGTCAATATTTTCCTCTAATGCTGAGTTGGAACACTGTCTTTTTGTGGCTGTTGAATAGCTCAGTCTGTAGTGAGTTGGAACACTGTCTTTTTGTGGCAGTTGAATAGCTCAGTCTGTAGTGAGTTGGAACACTGTCTTTTTGTGGCAGTTGAATAGCTCAGTCTGTATTGAGTTGGACTGTTGTCTGCAAGGCGATTAGGTGCAGTGGGTTCGAATCCTCTTCAAGGATTCTCATGCCTGTGCCAGTGCTTCTAAGAGTCAGCCTGAAGCAGCTCTCACACTCTAATACCTAAGCAGTAAAATGAGATAAAAAATCTAATGGCACTCAGAGATTTCAGAATTTGTAGTCAGGCGTTTGGAGCTGTAATCAGACGTGACTGGTAAATACAGCCCAATCACCAGCTGTGATATTTATGGTAGCCACTAGATTATAATGTTATAATTAATATTTAAAATGGCTATAAATATTAGAATTCCAGTCAGACATGACTGGTAAATACAGAGCTCTAGTAAGATATGACTGGTTATTACAAGCCAATCAACATCCCTGATAACAAGTTATATTTATGGTAGTTACAAGATCAAGATTTTGATGATATTGATGTCCTAGTCAGACATTGCTGGTTAATACAACCCAATCAACATCCCTGATAATAAGTAATATTGATGGTAGCTGTTAGATCATGTTATAATTATTATTCAGAATGGCAATATAAATATTCATAGAGAATCATATTGTACAGAATCCTCTCGAGATGCTACAGACCTATCTACAGCCTGATTCTCGTTAAAGACAATTTTATTCTGACTCTCTGTATTCAGTTATAGATTTATATTATTCAATGAGTCCCGGTGTATTACAGGCTGTGCTAATTGAAGGTCCCTTGATAGTTATAGTGGAAAAGGAGTTTGCTAAACAGTTGGCAATGTTTCCCTTCAGTGTTACTGCATGGCTTGGCTTGTTTCAGGAGCTGAATAATAGAATTAAATACTCATTCAATTTAAAACTGAAAAAATAAATGAATAGATGGAAAACTTATAAATATATAAAGAAAAAATGGACAAAATAAATGGTAAAATCTGATAAAAAATGAATAACTGGAAAAATATGAAAAGACATGGATGAACCAAAGAAACTGGTGAATAAAAATTTATTGAACAAACAAATAAATGATGGAATGAAAGCTGAAAATAGATAATTGAAAAATCAATAAATGAATGAATGATGGAATAAACTGGTGAATGAATGAATAAACTGGTGAATAAATTAATAAATAAACTGGTAAATAAATTAATAAATAAACTGGTGAATAAATGAATGAATGAATGAATAAATAAACTGGTGAATGAATGAATAAACTGGTGAATAAATTAATAAATAAACTGGTAAATAAATTAATAAATAAACTGGTGAATAAATGAATGAATGAATGAATAAATAAACTGGTGAAGAAATAAATAAATGAATGAACTGGTGAAGAAATTAATAAATAAACTGGTAAATAAATTAATAAATAAACTGGTGAATAAATGAATGAATGAATGAATAAATAAACTGGTGAAGAAATAAATAAATGAATGAATGAACTGGTGAAGAAATTAATAAATAAACTGGTGAATAAATAAATGAATGAATGAACTGGTGAATAAATAAATGAATGAATAAACTGGTGAATAAATGAATGAATGAGAGAGAAAGAAAGATTGAGAAGAATAATATTGATCTGGAAACAGAGTGAGTGTAAAAGGAGTTTGAGTTGTATTATGTCAGACAGAGTAATATTTCTTTCACTAGTCTAACTACAGCATGACTCATTACTAACTTCATCAACCAGT